AAGTGCTGGGTACAGGTGTGTGCCACCACGCCTGGCCTCAGCCTTCTTATCCATAATAATCCTGATCACTACCTTCACAGAGTCAGTGTGAAGATTTACTGAGTTAATATCAAAAAAGGACTTTGAAAACTATCTGGTACACAGTAAATACTACATAAATACAGTACATTTTATTGCAATAATATTTGAGCATACCATTGGTAACAAATAAATATACCATTTACTTTAAGTACTTGATGTGGAATATTTATAGCTGAAGACACTGAGAATGAGTTTAAATAACTTGCTCAGAAATAAACCATTAGTGAGCTGAAGCAAAAGTAGGATTTAAATTTGACTCTGCAATCTATATACTATCTATGCATCAGACTACAAAAGAAACCAAACCATCCTTTATTCACTTGTTAAATCTCCTGTCATTTGTGAAGATATCTAAATGAAATTCAAGAAAAAGCAGCCTTGTTAACCAAGTCTGTTAAAATTAACGGATCATCTACATGCTTTATAATATATTTGAAATGAATCACTTGGCTGTCACAGAGTAAAGCTTACAGTAGTGAGAAATTACTAATAAGAAAATAATTGCAAACTACTTCTAGATAATGCTAATTAGTGCAGTATTTTCCACCTCTGTGGATGAAGATTTCACAGCTAGGGCACTAAATCGCCACATTCTGCAGTGACAGAAAGGAGTAGTCACCTTTGCTCAGTTTCCAGTTCGTTCATCTTTCGGTGCTTCTGCTCCAGCTGCTCCTGTAGCTCTGCGATGCGTTCATTCTCAGTACCTTCCTGCTGTAAGCGAAGCATCTTGTTTTCATGCTGCAGCCGAATAAACACCTCTCTGATGTGGAAAAGTAAATTTGTTTTAAAACTTTTAAAATGAGTCACTCTATCCTGTACAAAAAGAAATTTGTGTCTACCCAATAGGTATTATTTTAAAAGGAGTTCAGTACTTCTGAAATATTTTAAGAAAAAAATTATGTACATTGCATGACTATGCCTTAAAAATATGTAGTAAATTGTTAATAGCCCAGAACTGTTATACATTATTAAATGATTGTTACACAAGCCCCAAAGAGACAGTAGAATTGTTTTAATTTATTAACTTCAAGACTATTCACAAAATGAAGCAATGTACTTATAAATGAAATGCAAGATGATATTTTCTATAACTTTTGGGGGGAATTTTTATTAAGGATTTATATATATATTTTTAAAGCAAACTGGCTGGGCAGAGTTAGCTCAGTGGTTTCAGCGCCTGCCTCACAAGTGCAAGGGCCTGAGTTCGATCCCTGGTACCAAAAACAAAAACAAAAAAGAAAGCAAATTTAGTATTTAAATAAAGATGCGAATGTCTATCTGGTATTAAATTTTAAAAATCATACATTCCTACTTGCTCCATTCCCAAATTTCATTCTCCAAAGGCAATTCTTACCCTCAATATTTTTGTTCTAAAGGCCATCAATATAACTGAAAAATAAGCTCACATGGCTTTTTAAACAAATAATTAATTTTAGCAAATGATTAAGTCTTAAAAAAAGTAACTTCTCACTTTACACATCTACCATTTCCCGTATTATAGGTTTGTTAGTTTTTTGTCTTCTAATAATTTTGTAACTTTCAATTATAAAATTAAACCTCCAAAATTAGAGCAACTTTGTGTTGCATGAACTTCAGACAATAAGTTTTCTTTTTTAGAACACAGCACATGACCTTATTACCTAGCAAAGAAAGTGATGGTATAAAAACTAGAATATCTTATTTAGCAACCCTGTAAAATTTTGCTTCTAATGAGTTTTTATATTGTTGTGGTAGCAACAACGTGATTCTGAAAGTTTAAGCAGATAAGACAAAGAAAATTTTGGTATGATTTCTTATTTTCAGATAAATGGAAATGAACTGAGCAGACTATCCAAAACAAGAAGATACCAATTACTAAAACCTGCATGTCAATCAAGCATGTAAGGAACTTAAAAGTCCTAACCTTGTGAACAGTATGCTAAGTAAATAAAGTTAGTCCAAAATGGCCACATACTCTATGATTCTAGGTATACAAAATGTCTATTAACAACAACAACAACAAAATAATTGGTATTAGTCACTTAGAACTAGGATTTGAAGGGAAGGAGGAATCCAGAATGACTGCTAATGTAGCACTGGTCTCTTCAGTGTAATGAAAATGTTCTAATAAAAGAATGATGATACTAAGACTGATATCATATCGTGACAACTCTATAAATATAATAACCACCGAACTATATATTTTAAGTGGATAAATATCTCAGTAAAGCTATCTAAACAAAGAATAATTTGTTTAAAATAATAAATAATACTGTTACTACAAAAAGAGAAAAAAAATGCTAGATTAATCAAATATGTACAAGTAAACAGAGAAAAGACAAAAAGTTAGATTAAAAGGAACTTTTAAAATTAGTACTTTAACTTCTGCTTAACCCCCCTGATTACTGACAACTCTTCCATTTTTCCATCTATTTGGATTTAAGTGGACAAATTTTTCAGAGTTAAAAAACAGAAAAATAATTTAGACAAACGAGAATATGTTATGGAACAACTCTATAATATTTAACTTCTGATAAATTTTTAAATTTCTGTGATAGCAATAAAAATATGATTTAGAAAGTTTAAGATGAGAAAAAATATTCTAGCCCTATAAAACACACACACACACACACACACACGCACACACACACGAAAGGTCAACCAATTTACAAAAAGGAGAGACAGAAATGAAAAAATCACACACTAACATTAAGGATGGATTATCAATGGAAAGAAATTTACCTATATTCCACTGGCATGATCTCAGCAGCAAGAGTCTCATAACTCTTTATAGAAGATGTGTCTACACAACAAAAAACAGGTTAATGTTTTACTACTTTGACCATTAACAAAATTAATTTTAAATTTAACTAAATTCACCTGTTTGACTTAGGTGATTCTGCTGTACTTGTGAACAATGGAGCTCTTCATTTGTTTCTTTCAGAGTATCACGCTGCTCTATCAGTCTCTAAAGAAAAATTGCTGATATTAGCAAATTATGCAATTTTGTTCAGTTCTGCTTACAGTATCATGTTAGTTTGATGATTATTGAATTAAAAATGATGTTTAAGTTTTAAGAGGCTGATCTTTTTCTTGCATAAGTCATATAGATAATAAGCCTTTAACAATACATGGTTTTTGATTTCTCATCATATAGTTTAATCTTTGAACGAAATGAATACACTTATATAACAAAGCACAAATTCACAAATGATTAGGTAAAAGATGAGCATGGCCTTTGGATGCAAAGACACTACTGTTTAAACTCCAGTTTCAACACTTCCTAACTATACTATCTTGGACAAGTTATTTAACTTTTCAGCTTTAGTGTCCATATTTTCTAAATGGAAATACAAACACAAAATCCTTCTTGAAGAGTTCCGAGTAATGAATGATATAAAGCTGAGCATCTAGACTATAGATTGGTATATAAGATGTGCAGATTAACTTTTTTTTACCACTGTTGATTTGAAAATGTGTTTAGAAATATCATCTTAGAAGCATGAATTTGTGGAAAAATACCATTTCCCAAAGATAGGATACTGGTACTTCAAATCATTGGCTTTTAGTTACACCAGTGGGGGCGAGAAAGCCTCTGTGTTTTGAACAAGTCACATTTAAGGCACATTCCCAGAACCTGAACACAAAAATCATACTTTAAATATTATGTTTCAAGTCAATAAACAAAGCCTTTGCAAATTTAGCAACTGACTCAAAGATCCTTAGGCTGAAGTCCACAGATGCCTGAGGGATCTTTGAACCTTATAAATTATACCAAGATGAAGGCATGAGGAACTCTATAAATTTGTCCTTCCATAAACACATTGCAAACACTAGAAAACTTATCCATATCCTAATTGTTACAGAACTCTGGAAATAAACCAAAGGCCATTAATTTGATTTTCTTGTTGTTGAGGAAGGGTCTTGCTATATAGTCCAGGATCACCTCTTACTCACAGCAATACACCTACCTCAGGCTCCCAAATGCTGGGATGACAGGCACACACCACTATACTCAGCAATAAGTATGTACTCAAGTAAATTTGCCAAGCATTCATTAAAATGTGAGATTTTTGCTCTTTTAACTTGTCTTATTCCCACCCCTCCTCTTCAGCTCTGGAGTAACCTGGAAAAGTCAGTAGCTTCTTCACTGTAGCTGTGAAAATCAGGAGCTTCACCAGTCACCGGAAGAGGCAGACTGGACAGACAGCTCCTCCTAAAATGCCCCCTCATCCTCAGAAAATGATCACTATATGGACTGTCCTGTAGCTCTCACAAGAAGCCCATTTTGCAGAGATTTCCATTATCTGACCCAATTCAGGGCTTCCTATTCAGGAAAGGCCATATTCCAGAGGCACTTATGAAAAACAATCCTCAGCAACTGCTTACAACACCAGTGCTGAAGGCTACGGTATGAGCTATGGATAAACAAGAGCCTGGTCAAAGTGCACAAGGAAGATCTGAGAAAAAAAGGGAGTCCGCAGGAGGAGGTGGGGAGCTCTGACAGTTTCCTGGAGATCTAAAAGGCAAACTATTGTGCACATGCCAAGAAAATACCTGAGAGGGCCCCAGTATCTCAGCTCTAAAGCCCTATGCAAGCAAGAAATAGAGGCAAAGGCAGAGCCATAAATTTTATGAACTCTTGAGAGCTTTCCCTGGTACACACTGAGTCCAGTCCTTTGGCAAAGGCTGAAAGAGTTACTGGTTAAAAGGATCTAAGAAAATCTTTGACCAGAGTCACAATGGTAACTTTGAAGAAACCAGGGTTTGCACATTACAAATAATATAGGCTTTATAGAATTATTCAAAATATCACTAAAATAAAACCAAAACAAAGAATAAAATATATATCTCCCAAGGGAGAATGATGAAATTTGAAGTATACTATAAAATGTCAGTTTTTCAATAAAATACAAAATATAGAAAGAAACAGGTAATCTACATATGGAAGGAAAAAAATCAACTAAAACAGCCAATGAGATGAGCTAGTGAGTAGACAGACTATAAATTACAGATTATAAATACATTCAAAGAACTAAAGCAAACCGTGTGTAAAGAATTCAAAGAAATTATGACAATGTCTCACTCAATAGAGTGTAAGATAAATTATAAAAAAAAAAAACTAGGAATTCTAGAATTAAAAAATACAATAAAAACAAGTATTCTATAGATGGGATTAGTGCACAGTTAAGCAGGAAAATAAAATAGGGAACTTACAAGTAAGCTAGTTGAAATTATCCAGTCTGAGGGATAATTTTTTTTTAAATTTAACAATGAAGAGAGTATGAATTTTGTGGGACACTATCAAGTGTACCAATTGTATGCATACTGGGAAATCCAGAAAAGCACAAGAAAAATACGTGAAGAAATAATGGCTAGCCATTTTTTAAATTTCTTGAAATACAACCAAGAGATCCGAGAAGTTCAACAAACTCAGAGACCCACACATAGACACATCAGCCTCAAATTGCTAAGAATGAAGAAGAATCTTGAAAGCAGCAAGAGAAAAATGATTCTTTACATAGATGGAATCCTCGATGATTTCAACCACTTTAACAGTTTCCATCAATGAATCCCAGAACACAATGTGATGATCAATGCGGAAAGAAAAAGGCTGAAAAAGAAGAATTCGACATCCAGCAAAAGACTCTTCAAATACGAGTACACTGAAAAAATTTTCAGATGAGGCAAAAATACAAAGTAAAACAGACTTTGTTATTACATTTGCTTTGGAAAGATATACTAAAAAGAGCCCTTTATGCTAAAATACTAGAGAGTAATTTGAATCCAAAAAAAGTTAACTAAATGTATAAATATGTAAGAAATGTGAAAGTAGTATTTAACCCTTTTAATCTTCAATCTGACTTAAAAATTAATAATACAGGGCTGGGGATTTAGCTCATCAGTTCGGTGGCCTGCCTTGCAAGTGCAAGGACTTGAGCTCAAACCCCGATACCAAAAAATAAATAAATAAATAAATAAATAAATAATGCAAAGCAGTCATTATAAAAGTGTCTTAAAGTGTTTATAATATACAAAGATGTAATTTGTATGAAAATATAGTAATAGTAATAAGAGGAAAGAGATTCTATTTTGGAACAGTATGTTCAAAAAAATATTGAAAGATACAAGAAAAAATAATAAAACACAGGAATTAAAATGGCATATTAGAAAATATCTGATGTAAAAGAGAGGCATAAAGAAATAGAAGAAAAAAAAAGAGCACATATAAAACAACAAAATTTCAGGTCTAAGTACTCTCTTATTAGTAATTATGCTAAATACGAACAGATTCATAATTAGACACATTTTCTTGTGATAATATCTGATTTCAGTTCAATAACGGATGGAACCACTACACAAAAGTCAACACAAATAGAATACGTAAACCATTAGAATATGTAAACCAGTCATATACACAAAACTTCATCCAATATCAGCAAACATTATTTTTAAATATATATGAACATTCTCCAGAACAGACCATATTTCAGATAATAAAGCAAGTTTCAATGAATTTAACAGGATTAAAAATATAATATGAAATATATTCTCTCACAACAGTGGAATTAAAGGAAAAATCAATGAACTGAAAAGAAATCATAGATATTCATGAATATGTGGAAAATGAACAAAAGTCACTCTTAAGCAATCATGGCTGAAAGGAGAAATCATAAGGAAAAGTAAAAAATAAATTGAGAAGAACTAAATCAAAATACAATATGCCAAACTTATGGGATGCAGCAAAATAAATACTAAGAAAACTTACAGGTTTAAATACCTACATTAAAAAAAAAACCCAAAACAATGTCAACCTTAAAAAACTAGAAAAACAAACTAGACAAAGAAATGTGTGTTCCTTTACCAAGGAATCTACAAAGACTGCGGCAAAAATAGGGGCTGGGGATGTAGCTCAGTACACAGTGCCTGCCTGGCAAGTGCAAGGTCCTGCAGTAGGTCCCCAGTGACCACCCCAAAAAACACAAGATAATAAATAAACAAAATAGAGAACAGGAAAAAATAGAAAACCAGCAAATTTTCTTTGAAAATATTCTTTGAAAAGAATAACAAATTTGCAAATCTTAGCTAAAGAAAAAAGAGAAACACAACTTATAAAAATCATAAAAGGAGAGAATATTACTACTTATATAAGTCCCCTTGTTAGAAATAAAAAAATATAAATGGCAATTAACAATTGTGAGCCAATAAATTAGGTAGATTAAATGAACAAATCTCTAGAAAGACACAAACTCCTGAATCAACAACAGAATCTGAACTGAAAAGATTCAATCCACAAGTAAAGCTCAGTTCATACTGCTAAACTCTACCAAATATTTAAAGGATAATTAATGGAATTTTCACAAACTTTACAAAAACATACAGAAGCAGGAAATTTTCCCAGCACATTCTATCAGGCCACTTTGAGTCTCCTAAGAAAGCCTGTAATAACCCTACAGGAAAACTACAATCAACACTTCTATAATTTAGATGGAAAAGTACTGAAGAAAATATCAGCGAAATGAATTCTGAAACCTATAAAAGAATTATATTACTATGATCAAGTGGGATTTGGTCACAAATGCAAGGGTGGCATTTATTTGCAATAAAAGAAAAATAATATATTTAGAAATTTTTAAAAGGTGCAGGTCTTACTCACTGACAACTAAAAAACACTGCTGAAAGACTGTAAAGACCTAAGTAAGTAGAAGGATATTCACATTCATGGATCAAAAAATTAGTACTGTTAAGAGGGCAATGTTTCTAAGTTGATCTACGAATTCAAGTAATCCCTATCAAAATCTCAGCTACCTTTTTTTTGCGGTGGGGGCAGAAATCGACAAGCTGATCCTAAGATTCTTAAGGAAATGCTAGGAATAAGAATAACAAAAATAACCTTTGGGGAAAATAAGAAGAAGCTAAAGAAAATACACTTTCCAATTTCAAAATAAGATAATCAAGGCAGTGAACACTAGCTTAAAACGAGATGCAAAAAACCATGATAGAGAACTGAAAGGCCAAAACTAAGCCCTGGAGTTTCTGGTCAAGTAATTTTTAAAAGTTTTTACAAGAAGACTATTTTTGAGCATGTTCAGATTTATAGAAAAAGTGAACATGAAGCATAAAATTGTTACATATTCCCTCACCATAATTCCACTCTGAATTTCCCTATTAAAATCTTACATTAGTGTGATAAATTGTTAGAACTGATGCACTAAAAATGATCTTAAGAGACAAAGAAAGTCACTAAATATTGATAAAAGAAACAAATCAACTTGAGGAGATAACAATTATATACACATATATGATGAATATGATGAATAATATATATGAATGTTGGCACACCAATTTCATGAAACAAAAAAACCAAGGACTCAATCAAAAACTGGGGCAATAAAATGCATAAAATGCATAAACTCAAAAGAAGAAGTACAAATGACCAATAAGTACATGAACAAATACTCAACATCTTTGGTCATTACAGAAGCGCAAATCAAACAATACTGAGATTCCATTTTACCCCAGTAATAATGACTATCATCAAGGACTCAAAACAACAAATGCAAGTGAGGACGTGGAAAAAAGGAACCCTTCTACATTGTGAGAATGTAAACTAGTGCAACTTCTTTGGAAATCAGTACAGAGATTCCTCAAAAACTGAAAATAGAAGTCCTACTTGACCTAGCCTAGGTATATTCCTGAAAGAGTTAAAGGTACAATGACACATGCATACCCATGTTTATAGCAGTGCAATTCACAAAAGCTAAACTGTAATTATAGAGCAGATTCCATCAACACATGAATAGATAAAGAAACGTGGATAAAGAATGTACTACATACATAGTAGAGTATCATTTGGCCATAAAGTTGGATAAATTTGAGTCAACTGTAGGAATATGGATGAATCTTGAAACAATAAAAACAAGTAAAATAAATGAGACACAGAAGGTTAAATATTGAATGGTTTTAGAAATATAAGTAATTTAGAGCCAGGGATTTAGCTCAGTGGCACCACGCCTGCCTCGCAAGCACAAGGTCCTGAGTTCAATCCCTGGTATCCCCACCAAATGTGAGAAACGTAAGTAATTTAAAGAGCAAAATAAAGGACAAAAAATAGGAAACAGGGAGGTAGACTTTTCAGAAATGGGGAAGGGAATCCAGAGAAGGGAGAAGAGGGGATGGGATAAGATAAAGATGATAAAAATGGTCAAAATACTATATACCTGCAAAATTATGTATCAAAAACATATTCTAATAAAAAAGATGAATGAAATCCTATCATTTGTACCAAAATGGATGGAACTGAAGGACATTTTGTAAAGTAAGACCGACAAAAGGCAAGTACTACAAGTTCTGTCTCATATGCACAACCTAAGAAAAGTCACCGTGAATACAGACTAGTGATTACCAGAAGAGAAGGTAGATTAAGGAGGCTCAATTTGATTAGTACACAGTGCACAAGTGTTGAAATATCATATGGATGCTCATTAACATGTACATCTTATATATGCCAATCAAAAATAAAATATATTGTAAAAAATGAATGAATAGTTAATTTTTATATCCAATTTCAAAAAAATGAGTAGTTATTACTAAGAGCAAGGGTATCAATATATTTATCACCTCTTTTTCCTTAAGTAAAGCTTCATGTTTTTCTTCAAGCCGCTTCATTTCAAATGCTAGAGTGTCTGCCCTTTTGGATTCAGAAGAGAGTTTAAGGTGCAGGTCCTGAACCTTTGGTCAGAAAAAAAGGAAAAAAATAACAGTATATAATATTCATGGGATTTTCAGATATGAGTAAATGAAAACTGACTGGAAATAAAATGTCTATGCTAAAATTACAATCTAAGCATTTGGAGACAGCATATAGAAAAAAAGAACATAAAATCTGAAATAATGAGCCAAAAATGTTAAAAAGTGTTAATATTTCTTTAGCTTGTCTGATGAATAGAAGAACAGAATATTTGAGGTTACAGTTCCATTTTCTACCATCCTCTAGGCATTTGCCACTGATGGCCAGAAATGTATAAATAATTAAAAATTTAAGATCAGAAGGCAATGAGTTTGAGACCCAGATAGGTCAAATTCTTTTATCAAACCTTATATTAAAATTACAGATAGGAGAAATTCTTCAGAAGTTTACAGATTATTAAAGGACCAAATAGAGTATCAATGTTGAACTCTCTCAAGTACTTCAGTTAAAGTTCAGATATTCTCTTACCTGCCGTTTGTATGTTTCTAACTGTGCACGTGCTGCATTCGCCTTCTTCAGTTCTTCTTCTAAGCTGACTGTGTTATGCATATACATCATGTTTGCATCCTGTAAAGTTTTCACCTGCTTGCGGAGGTCATTTAGATCTTGTAGCTTCTGACGATATATCTCCACGGTTGATTCCAGTTTATTAACTTTATCAGAGGTAGCCCTTTAATAATAAGGAGAAATCATTCAATTTTATTCTGGCTGTAAAATGAATCTTCCAAGCTATAATACACTTGTGCTTAAAATTATTTGAAGTTCAATTTTTGTCAAAATTAAAAATACCTCAACTACGACACATTAAGTTACTGAGATCTTCTTAGCACAAAACATAAAAAAGGAGTATCTTAGGACATACACTTGAGCAAACTATATACCATTCTGTAGGTTATGGGAAAACCTTGCTTTGCATATATCATTTAGCTTATACTCAGAAAGTTGGCTCATTTTAAAATTTGTCTGACAAGAAACTTTTCTTTATAATTGCACAAGACAAATAAATCATTAATTCACATGGGTCCAAATTACTGACTATATAGATTTTGTTACAAACATTCATTGTAAAAATTCTGTTAAAACTGCAAAAATACAGCTAATTAAAAAAATTTAACAGAAAATACACAAAGTCATCTGTCTAGTCTTCTTAATGGATAACATTTCATAGGCAAAAATGAAATTAGACTTTTATATTCGCAAGATAATCACCCATGAAATAAACAGTAAGGTTCTCATATCAAATGCCAAAATACAAATTATGATAATACATATTCTTGCAAAAATTTCTCAAAATATAATGGGCACAAGGTCTTTAGAAAAAGTCTCATCTTGGGTTTAAAAGTTCTAATACGAAACTGTCCTAACAAAAATTGAATTTTATTCTTACGTGTAATAAGCATAAAGGACTAGGAGCCTGAATAAAGAACTGATCAATATTTAAGACACAAGGACAGCCTAAAAATTCATGAATAAAATATAGACCACTCAAATAAGCCAACTAATAATTCACATAAGCAATACAATTATATTTAGGTGAGACATACCTAAGAACGTCAATTTCATCTTTCATGGCTCTTGTTTCTTCAGCGATACCAGTCAGTTCATCATTCCTGTGCTGAAATTCAATCAGTTGCTTTTCAAGTTCTTCACAGTGAACACGGTAATCATCTTTTGCAGCTTCAAGTCTTAAAGAAATTTATAATTTCCATTACTTGTCTTCCTATTTAGACATAACCTTAGCATGATATATTTAAATTCTACATTCAAAACAGGAGAGACTGAAGGAATAAGATATATTTTGGCTCTAATTTTGCAATAGATAAGGTAAACAAACTTACTATTCTTACTTTTGAAACATACTTGTCATCTCCTACTTCTAATTTTAGTGCATGTGCTGCCAAAGTCAGCACTGTTATCTCCTACTTCTGACAGCAATTTTAACTTCAAAAGATGAAGTTAAATATAAGTTATATAAGATAAAAATAATAAGTAGTTTAAAATATATATCATATAAAGAGATACAATATTAACCTTAGATTATGATAAGTTAAAGACAATGAGTGTGGAACATTCTGTTGTGTCAGAAAATAAGAAAGAGTTAACACGCCACCAACTGAAAGGCTTCCCACTGAAAATATCAAGAACAAGAAAAAAGTGATGATGTGGAATTTTTTTCTTAATGCTTTACATTACATATTTGCATCAAAAGTGTAAAAGACTCACTTTGTCAGATTTATAAACAAATCTGACTTACAAACATTCTCCCAGGATGGAAATCATGTGAAAGTAGAGGACTAATGATTTTTTAAAAAGAAATACAAACATTAAAGTGAAAAGCATCTCTGTAGTCAAAGACTTACATTGTTCCATTTATTTTCAGATTAGCTCTCTATGTGAAAAACCTCATGTTTTCCTAAGCTTCAGCAATCACTCCCCTGAACTCCTAGTGTCTGTGTGTGTGCATATATGTGTGTGTGTATATATATAATTAATGCTATTAATATTATTTAATATTATGATCTTTTAGCTACTAATTTAGCAGACAACCCCACTAAATAATTTCTACCTGAAGTTTTCCTCCTGTAATTGTTCAAGTTGTAACTGTGCATGGAAATACTTTTTTGCAACCATCATATTTGGATCATCAAATGAACCATCCAACTGATCAAGTTTTTCATTCATCATCTCATTCTCAGAAACCAGTGAATTCTTCTCATCTTGAAGTGCTGTCACCTAAAAAGCAAACACACAAATATAAGGATTTGATAGCAAAAAACTTCTTAAGAGTTGGGGGTTCATAATTCTACACTTGATCTTAGCCAAAAGGCCGAGAAGCGATTGGGGGTTCATAATTCTAATTCAGACTAGGCCATCAAACAAACCTGGTAAATCAAATCGGATGATTTCTAGCAATCCTTCCAAGTCTAGAATTCTGAGTGCAAGAAGTTTGGTTCAAACAAAAGAAATCAAATCAATACCACTATGTAAAATATAGAGTAAGAATGTTTTTAAAATGTTACACCTGCTGTAGTTTTGAGTAGAAATGTTTCTGTATATTTGAAATTTAATGGGTGGAATATCAGAAAATTTATTTGTCTCTCTTTTAAGTACAAACTAATGATGTTCCTATTCAGGCAAATTTATTATTTTAGGTTTACAGCAGAAAAATCATCAATTACATGTCATGTATTCAAAAGAAAAGTACATCTGGTTAATAACAAAAAGCTAAATTATTTGCATTTGTGCTTATTATTTAAAATAGATAAAAATATCCAAGTACAGAACTAAATCAATATTAGTATCTCATTTTTTACTCACTTTTCAAACAAGCTTGTTTTGCTTCCTTGGTTCTATTTCTTTTGCATTCAAAAATAACTTTAAAATTTTATGGCTATAGCTAGACTGTCCATTAGATCAGATACTTATATATGACTGTACTAAGAATTACTTTTATACAAAGTATCCTTTTTATGACATCCACTATATTATTTATAAGTTTGCAACAAATATTATTTTATAATAAAAACATTTTCAATTGTTATAATTCCATCAAGTTAGACAGATGAGACTATATACTAACACAGGTAACATGAAAGTAAAATCAACTGATTGCTTTAAATACAATATAGGCAAGTTAAAAATACTGCTCTGTTAAAGGAAGTTGAAATGGAGACCAGGCCTGAAGAATCCCTGAGCAGAAAAAAATCAGGCCTCATAAATGATCTAAACTTTGATCTGAGAATATAAATAAAACTTAGCTTGAGTTATTTCTTATAAATACCAACATTAAAGAAAACCAGAATTTAAACATACCCAGCCCAAAACAGTCAACAAATCTGTAATTATAGAACTAGGCATTTTTGACCAATAAGGCAACTATATGACTATAACCAATCAGATATTTCTTTTGCTTTACTTCTGTTCCTGTTCTTTTTAAAAATTTTTTTAAATTTGGTTTTTGAGACAGGGTCTCACTATGTAGTAGAGACTGACCTGGAACTCACTATGTAGCTCAGGCTGGTCTTGAACTCACAGCGATCCTCCTACCTCAGTCTCCCAAGTGCTGATTACAGGCATGTGCCACCATGCCCAGTTCCTGTTCCTGCCCTTTAAATTCTTAGCCATTGGGTATTCTCAGTGGCCTTCTGGATCCTACTCTGGTTTGAAGCTCCCTGATTCATGAATCAAATAAAGTTTCTGAAAGTGTACTATTACTTCTCAGTTTATTTTTAACACCTCCAAAAAACCAAGTTGGGAAACTGTCCCTAGGCAGATGATATAAAGAAGCAATGCTCTGTTCCTAAAATTTAGTGTCAGTCATGTAAGCAGCCTCAGTACTATTATCTGTCATGCCTGATTCTAAGTAACTGACCTGGCTCACTATGTAGCTCAGGCTGGTCTTGAACTCACAGCGATCCTCCTACCTCAGTCTCCCAAGTGCTGATTACAGGCATGTGCCACCATGCCCAGTTCCTGTTCCTGCCCTTTAAATTCTTAGCCATTGGGTATTCTCAGTGGCCTTCTGGATCCTACTCTGGTTTGAAGCTCCCTGATTCATGAATCAAATAAAGTTTCTGAAAGTGTACTATTACTTCTCAGTTTATTTTTAACACCTCCAAAAAACCAAGTTGGGAAACTGTCCCTAGGCAGATGATATAAAGAAGCAATGCTCTGTTCCTAAAATTTAGTGTCAGTCATGTAAGCAGCCTCAGTACTATTATCTGTCATGCCTGATTCTAAGTGATTCAGATAAAAAAATGTAACTGTTTCTGATCTTAAGTCTCTTACAGCAGAAATGTAAGTAAGAGATGTCGAAGGAGGAGCTCTGATAGAAGCACACCATACTGTGGAGATGGGAACAAGGGAAAGCCTATAGGTTGAATATTCTTCACCTGAAATGACTGGGACCAGAAGTGTTCCACTTATCAGAGTCTCAAATTTTTGTATGTACCTATAGATTATCTTGGGCATGGGTCTCAGGTCTAAACACAAATTCATTGGTTTCAAATACATCTTTGGTACACAGCCTGAAGATAACTTAATACAGTACAAAAGTTTTAATAATTTTCTACATGAAACAAACCTTGTATTACTGAAACATCAGAAAGCAAGAGAGTCATCATTTCAGCCACCCATGTGAACAATCTTATGCTTGTTTGGCATCACCATTACTCTTGACTATGAATGGATAGGCCACAGATCAACTATTTTATTACACTTATACACAAGTACTTATCAGTAAAAATTATGATGCATTAAGTACAGTGAAAAAGTTTTGTGTTCCAGTGGAATAGATAGCACGAGCATCAACAGAATCCTCATATTGTTGATTAAACAGTAACAGCAAACAATAGCTTTTCAGTCTATGTTTCAATGCTATGTCTTGATTAACTTTAAGGTGAGGAGTATGAGAATCAGTTGAGGGATCCCAAGTCAGTCCTTCAGGAATGAGGAGGCATCCTGGTAGATGGCTTTCTCAAATGTTGTCTTCAGAATCTGTATCCTGCAGTCTTAGATTTTTTTCAAACTGGTTCCTTATTCTGTCACAAACTCATGTGGCTCTAGCCCTTCACTAAGCCCACAGTTTCATCACATCACCTATAGATGCTTCTTTATGCAGCATTAACATCTTCCCTGTCACTATCAACGTGATCACCTCGATTCAGTAGCACTGGTCAGTATAGGAACAAATGGAACCTGTTCATCATTGTTCAGAACTGCTCCTAGGGGCTCAGGGTGTAGGGCCACGGCAGAGGAAGTGCTTGGCATATGCAAGGCTGGAGCACTGCAAAACACATGTGCGCACATATACACATAAACATGCACAAAAACTTCTATACCCATTTCCAGCTGTTTCACTGACAACTCTGAAGGTAAACTTTTTTTTAAAGTGAGGTCAAACCTCACTTCCCTCTCACTTGACATACAAAATTCTTTAGTTGCGACCTCGTTTATCATTATGAGTGAATACAGCATGGGCAGAAGCTTTGTCAGGTGTGCACAACTGTCTCTGTTCACTGTGTTCCAAGCACCAGCAACAGTGTACACAGTCCTTCACATTAAAGTCCTTCTGAAAACCTTCTATCTCCATGCCTCCCTTCACTGCTGCCAGGGTGTTGTTCAAAAAGATGTCCTTGTATTTACCATTTATTGATCTGAAGATATCCTCCACTGGCCACATGGCTGATTTAATAACAGTCTTATTTGAGGAAAGGACATGGCACAAGCATTACATTTTATAAGAATTTTATCTGGAAAATGAGAATAGTTGTCAAGCAATAAGAAAATGTTGCTGGCATCCAGTCCAACTTCACTGTGGTGAGCACAAGCCACTACCACAAAATGTTTGTGAACCAGTTAGAAAAAATGTCCCTGCTGATTCTTTTAGCTACCTACATCACAGACAGGAAGGTGAGGAGAATATTAAATGTTCAAATTGCAGGGAGACCCAGACCCAACCTATGACGTGGAGTGATGGACAGCAGTTCTAGTATCTCTCCTAATGAGCTCCCATAGTGATATATATATATATTTTTTTTTTGGGGGGGGGTTGTACCGGGGATTGAACGGTGATATATTCTTTAGCTTATCCCTGCACCTGCCTCTATCCCTTGCTGTTTGGGATTCCTAAACTTTTCAACTAAAATCACAAGATTACATATCTTCATTCTGTATTACTATAGAATTTTGTGTTCTATACTAAGAATTTCTCAGAAAACGACACAGAAATCCTCTGAGACTAGTAGTATCAGAATGGCTCAATCCCCTATTCTTTGAAAGAGTGGTATTTTACAGGTGAACATAACCCTGTTTGAAAAAGTAACACATTTCAGGTCCCTTGGGTGGGAGGGTGTGTGGGTGGGTGTGTGTGTGTGTGTGTGTGTGTGTGTATGTGTGTGTGTGTATGCTTCACTGTGTACTTAAAGATGCACAGGGGAACAGAGACAATTTCCCCTACACCTGAGATTGTTGGATCATTCAAATACAGAGGGCTATTTTTTGTTTTTAAGACAAAAGTAAGAAGACCTAACCTCTGCTGCTGTCACTAACCTAAGTGGTCAGTCCCTGTGACCAAGTCATGTCATTAATCCTTATGTAAAAATCTTTGGAATTAAAACTATTATCCAGCCTCATATAAAACTTATATATAACTATTATCCAGCCTTATCATATTTTAGGTATTTATTTCATCTAGCTAGAATAACAGTAGTTACAATATTGGTTCTTCATCCTTGTACATGTCGGGAAACTAGTTCATCAGTTGAACAAAGAATGTAACACATATATAGCACAAAATGAAGGTACAATTAATCTTTTCTATACTTTTTTCTAGACATTGCCAAGACTTAAGAGCATAATTTTCACACTTGTAATTTCACAGAATAACTATATAAGCAAATATACACATAACATCTGTGTGCCAGATACTATCTAAATGCTCTGTATAATTTAATCCTTATAGCCATTCTAAATAAATATTATTGTAACTCTTTCTCTCAAAAGAGAAAGCTCAAGTACAGAGAAATTAATTTGCTTGAGTGCATACAACTAGTAATATGGTGAGGTTATGAATATAGGAAGCCCATCTGACAGTCTATGCCCTTAATTGTTGCTGCTCGTGCCAGTTTATCAATGTAAATTTATAAATATATCCATACACATATACACACTAGTAAAACAAACAGCAAAAGACTACACTCACACACACACGTCACCTCATTTAATATTCATAAACAACTATAAAGTAGGTATTTTAATTTTGCCATCTTAAAAGAGACAAAACTGAGTCTTCATCAGAATAGCAGAAGTCCTCCAATTAGCATGATATTCCCAAAGAAATAGGCCAGCAATTTTCAACTCTCAGGGAAAAGTATTTATGAAGTCCTTGTTTAAATACCAACACTTACATCAAATAGGTGGATGTCTCCTCCGTGAAGTAAGGCTAGTAAGTCAGGGTCAGAGGACACTCCGCACGGGCTGCCCTCATCCATACCTGCATATCCAGTTCTTGGCATCTCTGCTTCAGCTCTTCTTTCTCTGCTTGTGCTTCCTGAAGTTCTTCCAAAGCCCTTTTAAGCTGAAATATAAAATGTCATTCCTAGTAAATCATGTTTTAACAAAAACAGAAAAATATAATCTTCACACACACACACACACACACACACACACACACACACACACACACATATGCTAGAAATAGGTTTAAAAATTTGCCTATTAACAAATTAGTCTTAATTTTGTTATCCATGTGTGAACCCTACTGCCATACTCTCATTAACATTTAAGGTTATGGTTCCACAGAAATAAAATGTGTTTGAATCCTTGTAAAATATTTTCAAATGTTTAGAGGAGGTATTTTTTAATTTTATTGCAGAAAAAAATTAGAAAAACAACATATTTAGATTTAGACAAAATTGTAATCAAAGATATTTGAAATACTTTTTGAGATGACTAGTCACATTTGTGAAAAAAGATATGTAGAAATAAAATAACTAGATATATAAAGTTGCAATTTTCTCTCTTCCCCTACAACCAGACTGGGTCATACATTAGAAGAGAATGAATTTCCCCCCACGTAAATTAGTCCTCTAACAGAATCCTGAAGCACTCCGCCATCTCTTCAACGTCAAGTAAGAGAACAGCAACAACAACAAAATATTATTTTATTATTGAAACTTAGAATATTTTTCAGGTATTTTTTACCATTTAAGTATTTCTATAACGATCTGATATGGACCAAGTGTCAAAAGGAACGTCCAATACTATTCAACACTTGGACCATAATCACAAAAACCCCAGAGACCATCACTGCTTAAATTAATGAAGACTGCACAGTAACATTCAAATGAAATCTAACAGCAAAATAAGCCTATATCAGAAAATATTTTTGTATGCAACATTCTACATAAGCCTTATGAAGTAGAGAGAGGAACCATACTACTGTTTTCAACACTCTCAAATACTGAAATACTCACCTGCTGCTCTAATTCTCCAACAGCATCATTTGTAGGTGAGCTCACTATTTCTTTACTCATCAACTGGGAAATTAAAATACAAAATTTAGTACAATAAAGTGATGCTTATAAAACAAATACATATTTATTTAATAGAATGGAAAAATTATAGCTTTTCCTTGCCTTAGTATGATGATCCTTAGAACCTTATTCAAATAAAAATTTTATTAGAGATTTTATCTAAATAACAATGTTTGATCCTATTAATGGGAACATTAAGATTACTGAACATGAAGCCAGGCGTGGTGGTGCATGCCTGTAATCCCAGCACTTGGGAGGCTGAGGCAGGAGGATCGCTGTGAGTTCAAAACCAGCCTGGACTACATAGTGAGCTCCAGGTCAGTCTGAACTACAGAGTGAGACCCTGTCTCAAAAAAACCAAAAAAAAAAAAAAAAATTACTGAACATAAGCCAAAATAAGCCACTCCTCTATAAAAAAATAGTATTAAGCTTATGATAAGCTTATGAGTGAGGACATCCTGTTTTCTCTCATCTCTGCACTCCATTTCATCTGACAGTCTTAGCTTGATACTAAGAATCAACACTACACACTGTAAATTCTGAATCCTTCTGTCTCTCCTGAGATAATCAGAATAGCTTAAATCCAGGCAACTTAGCTACAAAACAGAAGTACCACCATACTGCCTCAGAAATCTAACATTCTAAAATACAGATGGCATACTCACAAAACTGCTTTACAGATTGAATGCAATACCAATTGAAATCCCAACACTATACTTCACAGAACTAGAAAGAAGAATCCAAATATTCATTTGGAACCGTAAAAGACCTGGAATAGCAAAACCCATTCTAGGCAAGAGACACATGGCAGTGGGTATAACAATTCCCAATTTGAAACTATACTACAAAGCCACTGTGATAAAAACAGCATGGTACTGGCAAAAAAACAGATCTGAGGATCAGTGGAACAGATTGGAAGACACAAAAACAACTCCAGATGCACTCAGCTACCTCATCTTTGACAAAGGAGCTCACAGTCCCCACTGCAGGAAAGATAGCCTCTTTAATAAATGGTGTTGGAAAACTGGATCTCAACCTGCAAGAGATTAAAACTAGACCCTTATCTGTCACCATGCACTAAATTAAAATCCAAATGGATTAAAGATCTAAATATAAAAACAAAAACACTAAACTTGCTGGAAGATAAGGTAGGCAGAACTCTGGAACATATTGGCATAGGAAAAGACTTTATGAACAAATCCTTAGTAGCATGGGAACTAGCAGAAAGAATCAACAACTGGGATTTCATCTTATTAAAAAGCTTCTGCACTGCAATAGAAACCATCAAGAGAACTAAGAGACAACCCACAATGTGGGAAAAACTTTTTACCAGCTGCTCCTCAGACAAAGGACTATTATCTAAAATATATAAAGAACTCAAAACAACCAGTCCCCACAAATACAAAGACCCAATTCTAAAATGGGCATCTGAAATGAACAGACATTTTTCTCACACGACGTAAAAGCAGCAAATAAACATATGAAAAAAAGTTCAACATCACTGGTCATTTGATAGTTGAGATGAAAACAACACTGAGATTCCACCTCACCCCTCAAAGAATGGCTGCTATCAAGAAATCACACAACCACAAATGTTGGTGCGGTTGTGGGGAGAAAGGAACCCTTCTCCATTGTTGGTGGGAGTGCAGACTGGTGCAACCACTATGGAAATCAATATGGAGATATCTCAAAGAACTAGGATTAGAGGTTCCATTTGACCCAGCCATCCCTCTGCTGGGTATCTCTCCAAAAGAATTAAAAGAATCATACCACAGTGATATATGCGTACCCATGTTTATAGTGGCACATTTTGAGGATATACTCTTAAGTGAAATAAATAAGTCACACATATGCAAATACCAAATAGTTTCTCTGGTGTGAAAAACTAAAATAGTACTCAAGATCCTAATGGGACAATTAGCAACGTGAAATAGGAAGAAAAGGACCAAAGGTGTAGGGACAGTGAGAAGGATAGGGAAAGGGGAATAAGGGAAAAGGAAAAAAATATGAGAAAATGTAAAAATGGAATTAAAGTGTTTGAAGGTGGGGAGGGGAGGAGGGTCTGAAGGAAGGGAGGGGAAAAAATGAGAACCAAGACCTGACATGTAAAGGTACAAGATCCCAGTAATAAATGTAACTGTACTGTCTACCTAGAATGTACCAATAAATTTAATTTAAAACAAAAAAAAAATACAGACGGCACATATAAACTACAATCTCAGGAAAGACTTCTCTCACTGGCAGAAAAAAGAAATTAAAATTCTTATCACCTGTAGATTGTTTATCCTGTTTTTTCTTGATTAGCTGAAGTTAAAAGAACTTGACAATATTAATTTACCAAACAGTTGTAGAAAGAGATGTGCTAAAACAGAGGCTTAACTACTTTTTAAGATATTTTTGAGTGGGAAAAAAAGTAAGACTCACTAGCTAAAGATAGGTAAATCCACTGCAAAGGGCAAGTTTAAACAAAGAAAAATTCATTTATTTGAAGGTAAAATTTATGTGAAAAGCTCTATGTCATTTGGTTCATATTATCACAATCAGATGAACAGGACATAACTCACCTCTTGAATAGCAGTCATGACCACATGTTGAACAGACTCTTCCAATGTCATTATATTTTTAATATGTTCTGTGATTTAAAAAAAAACACGAAAACTTCAAAAAAAAACCCCATTGCATAAAGTACCTTTACCATCCAATAAACAAAATATATAAATGTATTACCACAAATAATCCTATAGTTTCACTGTATGTCCATTAAAATAAGTTTTAAATATTCATATTTAATGTTTTCTCATTATAAGAAAAAGGATATTGCAATTAATTTAAACATAATTATGACAGTAATTATCTAATTTTAAGTCCTGAAAGTTTCATTTATCCCCTGCTTAGTTCTTTCCAGGAAGGCTTTTGGAGGGCCTTCTATGGCCTGTGAACTCCTGCTCAGCGTTCACTGTCTCACCTAGCAGGTTTACACCCCTCCACCACAAGCAGTTTTGCAGTAAGTTGAGATGATCTGTCCTGAGAGTGAATGAGAAACTCCAAGAGTCCTTCATGTATTTACAAGTTTAAACCCACTTAAACTGTATGTTCTCCAGCTAAAACAACTGCTCCAAAATTCTAAGGACTTACTAGTTTTCTGATAATTTTTATTGTTTTAACAATTCTTCTGGAAACTCCTAAAAGTCATGTATATCTTTATTTGTGAAGTCAGAAACTGTATAAATAGTTGGATAGGGTGTAGTATGCATCTTATGCATCTGACCAGAAAATAATACTAAAGGGGAGAAAAAGAATGAACTAGGAAGTTTTAGGGGTGACAGAATTTATTTCATTTAAGTGGATTTCCTAAATAAAGTGTTTCAAGTTCATAAAAACCTTTTCAAAAATAGCCTCCTTTCCCATCACAAAGAATACTGTAATCAAACTAGTCCATTCTTATAAGATTGAGATTGTTGTAGTGTCCTGAAATCATTCTGAAAATAAATTCTCACTGCAGAGTACCAAGGTATGGAGGTTATTTTTATCCTGGACATGTTTTTTTTGTAAATTTTAATTAAATTACTAGTAGTTTATTTACTTATCTGCTCACACATAAAAATGGAGAACACAGACACGTATTTTCAAAAATAAATCTAATTTGATATTTAGATAATTCTGATTTTTTAGATAACAAAAATGAAACTATTTCCTCATACTATTTTTTTTTTCTTGTGTAGCCAGGAATTTAATTTCATTTAAAAAATATAAGGACAGAATTGCTTAGTAACACTCAGATATAAATTATGAACATAATACATCTTCTGCCCAAAAGTGCAAGATGCAACAGAATCATCACTTTCAGGGAAAATGATAGCAAAATATCAATTATAGCACAGAGGAGAAATAGTTGTCATTAAAAAAAAGGATAAAAATTTAAAAAAAATAGAACCAAAGACAAACAGTCTTTGGAATGAATAAAACTGAAAAACTTGGTAACATTAATTAAGCAAAAATAAGTAACAGATAACCAGTAGTTAAAGTAGGAAAAATCTATTACTCAAAGCAAAAGTAAAAAGAATCACAATTAGAAAAGAAAGCTACTAGATTTACACGTTAATTACTTTTCAAACTGTGATTAAATATTTAGGGAAGTTTTAAGGTTCCATAAGAAAACGGCTGTTATGTTTATTTTAAAAAATCCCAATATACAAGTTTTTCACATTCTCTGTGAGAAATAAAAGCATATAAAGAAATACTTGCAGCCAGTGATTTAGCTCAGTGGTGCCACCACCTGCCTCACAAGTGGAAGGACCTGAGTTTGATCCCAGCACAAAAAAAAGAAAAAAAGAAAAAAGAGAAAGAAAAGAAATACTTGCCCTAGGGGAAAAAAAATAGCTACTTGATGACAGAGATGCACTAATATAAAAATTTTCTGATATCTAGTGCCTCTCTTTTTTTATTGGTTAACTATAGTTGATTCTTTGCTATTTTTCTCCTTCTTGAGTTTGTTCTTACTGAATTTATCCTGTCTTGTAGCTTCTAGTCATTGGTTACACAAAGCTGAATGTGGTCAGTAAGGTTCTATTTTACACACTTAAGCAACTAAATGTTTTTTTCAAGCACTCTACAGTGTGCCACATTCCAAAGTTTTATAAACTAGTACATACTATAACCAAGTCTGGAGCAATCATACAGAAAACAAAACAAAACAACACAACAGTGTCAAAACTCTCACCACCCCATCTTATGAGCCCCCATTTAGGGAGATCTAGGTCTGTTCTGTTCATAATTTTATTAATTAAATGCAACCAAAACTGATCTTTTTATATTCAGCAGAATATAGATCACTATCATCCATACTTACCAGGAGATACACTAGGCTGGTATCTAAAAAGAATGAAATATTATCCAAAGAAGGCCAGATTATAATTAGCTGAATATTTGTGGAAAATTGAGTCAACTGATCTTACAAAATAATCTATCAGATAAATATAATGTATTAAATATCCACCAAGTTCTAACCATGGGTTACATTAATCTAGAGTAAAATACATTTAATTTACTTATTGAGTATCAGAACTCAGGTACAAATAGGAACTCAAGATATGGAGCTCTGCAATCACAGAGAAGGACTAGAATTCAGATTCTCTGGTTTGTATTTCAGGTTGCTTTCTGCCAAGCTATAACAGTAAATTTTAATACTACCTTTTAAATGTGGGGGGTTTTTCTAGAAGGTAGAAAACCTCAGTTGGTTGAAATTCATTTACCTTGCTTCTTTTCACAGTTGACCGCACAGCCTAAAATAAGCTGGAGCAATCTCCCAAGCTCCACAGAATCTGAACATTCAGTTATTTGGTTTAAATCAGGAATAAGTTCTTCAGAAATCTGTTGCCCCAAAAACTGCAGTATCAAAATAGTAAGTCAGATCACTCATTTATATAATTACCAAAAACTTTCTACGGTAATTTTAAAAGAAATATTAAGTACATGAAACAACTCAAATTGACAAATGACAAATCAATAATTACTGATCAAAATCAGTTAGCAATATTCAAGCAATCTCTCAATATTTTGAGTAACCAACTATAAGCAACTTAATTTACTTTTGATTTGATGCCATTGTTTAATTTAAAAAAAACATGATGCAGTCTGCTATTACAAAATGTATGTTAAACCAAATGGTATTTATAATGTTTATATATGATAAATTAACAACTGCAAGAAGAACAACACATCTACAAATGAACAACATATCTAATGGGTTAATTTTTCCTGGCCATTTTTTTAAGCTTAATAAACAGTTTCTTGGCATTGAGAAAAGCATCAAAATGAGTTTTAGGAATTTAATGAGTTAAAAAATTTAGGAGAGAATTAAAATTTTTAAAAATTAACTACAAGTTTGTATTACAACCTTAAAAACAGAGACAAAAAATTTTAATGATAAAATCAACTAAAAACTGCTAATCATTAAGTAATTATTAAAGAAATTTTGAGAAAATAATCTATTTAATAAGTATTAATATAAAAGCAACTTTTATTGTAAATCCAATATCTGAACTTCGAACTGATTTTCACAAAACATGTATGCTCTAAAAATGCCAGTAATGTTTCAATTATGAATTACATGTTCATGTTATAAATAAAAGCCAAGTCATTTTTTCAATAACAATATAATTATTTTGTATTTAAAATCAGATACTTTTCATACCTCGTGGTAATAACTCATAATTCCTTGAAGGATCTTCTTTAAATTGCTAGCCTAATGTGAAAAAGGAATAAGAAATACATTTTTATTTCATATTAATGAAAGAAAAGTTATGCCAAGATGAGTGATAGTAAAAACCTTTCCCTGATAAAAGCAACAAAAAAGGGCTGTAGATTTAGCTCAGCAGCACCGCGCCTGCCTTGCAAGCACAAGGTCCTGAGTTCGATCCCCAGTACCAAAAAAAAAAAAGCAACAGAAAAATTACAGTAGAATTCACCAAGAAAAAGAAAAAATAAAAAAGAATTCTTCACCAAGAAATGTTAAAAACAAAGTGCAATGAGCCTAACAATAAAAATTCAAGTTACATAAAATAAACAGAATTGAAAGGAGAAATGGACAAAACCACACTGTCACACAATTAAGAACTGCTCCCCTCTGTAACCGAAATAACTAGACTGAAAAAAATAAACATATTTGACCTAGTCCATATTTATAGAACAACTGTAGAATATGTTGCTTTCAAGTAGACATATAACATTCACCAATGCAGACACCATAGTTAAGTCATGTAGTAAGTCTTGGCAAACATAAAAGAATTTCTCATACAAGTGTGTTCTCAGACAGTAATATAATTATATTAAAAATCAATCAATAAAAGATATTTAGAATTTGAACTACCTACTTTTAAGTTACCCCTACATAAAGACAGAAATCACATAGGAAATTATCAAATATGTTAAAAATAAGAGCACTGTATGTTAAAATGTGTATATGTGGCTCAGTGTTTAATATAAGTGGAAAAAAGGGACCAAAATTGATGTATTTAGGTTTGTACCTTAAGATGAACAAAAAAGAAGAGCATATGTTAACAGAAGAAAGGAAACATGATCAAACAGAAAATGAATGAAATGGTAAATAGCTATTTGAAATAATATACAAATTGAAAAAAACAAAACAAATATTAAGAAAAAATATAAAAACACCAATTATCAATATTAGGAAAGATGAAATACCACTTAAAGATCATACAGCAATTAGCATATTAGCAGCACAATAACTGTTATGAACAACTGTATGCCAATAAATTAGACAATTTATATGAAATCAAAACATACCCCAAAGACACAAAGAAACAGAAAAGAAAGGGTTTTAAAAGCAGAGAATCTGTTTCGCAGTTTCTTGTAAAATAAAAATATATTTACACAGCTAGTAAATCCACTCAAACTTTCCCAAGAGAAATTAAATATGTCTAAGAAAATACTGACACATGAACATTCTTTGCTTTTGAATTCATTGTAAACCCAGAAACAACTTGAATTCCTATCAACAAGTAAATAGCTAAACAAATCGTAGTGTATCAATGTAATTACACAGCAAAAAAACCAAGAGTTACCACTAATAAACCAACAGGGATGAATCCCAAAACATAAATGAAAGATGCTAGGTATAAATAGCAGACATTGTGTGGGTCCACTTGTATGGAGCTCTAAACATGGGATCTATAGAGACACAAAGCAGATCTGTGGTGACCTGAGGTCAGAACAGAGCCAAAGGGAACCGTGAGAGCCAGGTGCATGCTGATTAATAAAAATGTGATTGTCTATTTAATTATGATGGTAATTACATGACAGCATACACCTGTCAAAACTTAAACTGTACAGAATAAAATGCATTCACAAATGAATTTTTAAAAAGATGCAGTTGAGCTTAGTGTTAATACTAGGACCTCTGTGGATCAAGTGCTACTCCCACTCATACCTTTATTCTCCAGTTGTCCCCAACATCCTCCTTAATTCGACATAACCAGGATTCATTAAACCAAGCCATATCACTAAAACAGAAGTATAAATGTCAAACATTAAAATGTTTTTATTACTCAAAATATCAAATTGAATCAACAGGGAAAGTTACTTTATAAGCTTACAGCCTATCCTTATAAAATCAGTAAATATTTGAATAAGCCCACTGAATTTTTTGTGATTCTTAAAGATTTCATTTAGGCTTGTCACATTAAATTATTTAAACCATTAAACACCTTCAATTTAATAAAATACTTATTAAATATTTAATGTTGGACATCTCATTAAGAGGAAGATCTAAAAGTAACAACCCTGAAAGGGTTGAGAATGAACATTTTAATGAGTATCTACCATAATTCATTTAAACAGCATAGTAACTTGATGAAGGATATATTACTATTCTCATTCTTCCTATTCAGCAAGCTGGGTATGAGGTAGGATAAGTAATTTACCACAATGGACACTGGTACATGGCAAAGCGCAAAGTAAATCATTTTGACTGAGAAAGGAAGTTTGAGAAATCTACAAAGCTAAATTTAGTGTTAATTAGAAGTCCTATATTGACACTGAAGATCAAGACAAATAATTGCCATACAAAGTTTTTATGTATTTAATAAGGTTTGGAAGAACAACTGACTGTATTTAGTGAAATATATTAATAGATTATATTATAAACAAATATGGATACTATGTGCTCTAAGAAATTGAACAAGATTGATATGAAGATGAAAAATTTACTATTTTGACTGAGAGTAATAGCTATTTAAGGAAGAAAGCAAGCCCAAAAAAGACTGATAGTGTTCTAAGGGTTAAACAGTTAGAAAATCACAGAATGTTAGTGCTGAAGTAGTTTAAAGGTTTCATTTACATTTTTACTTTATGGATAGGCCAACTAAAATATAAGGGCGGGGGCTTCTTTTCCAAGTCTGAATCTTAAACTTAAAATTGCAAAGCTGAAACAATTAATTGCTTAGCCTTGCTGGCTAGTACAACCAAAAAATGGCTTCAATATTTTCAATTAACTTATTTGGAATTTGTAACAAATTTATGTTGGTTGTGCTCAACTTTTTCCCAGGTGGCAAGACTACAATTACCAAAACAATTTAATTAAATATATAAATGATATATTTACTTGAAATGATTGAACTAATTTCATCAGTAAAAAACTGTCAAAGTGGATAAAGAAGATGTGGTTTTTCTATAAAATGGAATATTACTTAGCCATAAAGAATGAGAAAATAGACTCATTCATAGGAAAATGGATACATATTAAAGATATACTCCTAAGTGAAATAAGGCACACATGTGTAAATACCAAATAGTCTCTCTGGTGTGAATAATATGCACTAATACAGAAGATCCTAATAAGATAACTGACATTTAGAAATGGGAAGAAAGGAGCTAAAGGTGTAGGGAAGGTGGGATGGGTAGGGGAAGAGGG